ATCGTACGCAGCTCGACAGCTAGCTATTCATCTCGGCGTAAAACTGGGATATCGATTGGAAGAGAACAGGCGTTCTCCAGGTGAAAGTAGATTCATTCTTCCAACGATCAAGCGTCATATTCTTTTCTCCGGTATCAAAGCTGAACCGCTCCGCCTTTATTCCGCTTCCTTTGTATTTTTCCTCGGCTTAGCTATGCGCGATCGAACGACAATATCGCTCGGCGTCGGAACGCAATCCTCGTTTCCGGCGACCGACTTAGGAACCGCCGGGAGTTCGCGCAAGCGTCTTCCGGTCCGCGATTCCACGAACGGGCAGCGGCGGCCGGGGCGAGGGGTTGCTAGCCAGCGAATCAATACTTACATGTCCGCTAGTAACCAGCCAGTCGGGGTTCATCCTTCGCGATAGACGCGTCGAGGTCCGAGACGACCGGGATTCCGACCGAGAGGCTGAGTTCATTCCGTGGTTTCCTTCGCCACCCAGCAGTACCGTAATATCGATTCAACCGGACACCCCGAGCGAAAGCAGAGTCGCAGGAGACACGTATGAGGTGTGCATGCGACGTCGCTCTCGAGGTGCGAGGTGGCCAGTCGCGAGAGGTAACTGACCCTGTGCAACAGCTCGAACGTTCAGGTTGAGTCAACCCGAGGAGATCGAGCAGCCCGAGAGAGACCGGTGACCTCGGCACGAAGGATCGATCGCCGCGAGAGGCTCAACCTATATACCCGAGCGGTAAGTCCCTTCTAAGAGGAACCGAGTTCCGAGAGACGACTCGGTTTGAAACGCACGCGAGCCACGAGTGACGGAGGTTAGCGGAGAATCGGCTCGCGTTGCCGACTCGGAACAGGGCGAGTCGAAACCCAGTGCAACGATCGCGTTCCCGGGCTCGGCGAAAGCCGCGAGACTCGTCGCTCGTCTGGTGGGAGCGCGTGACCGCTCGTTCCTCACGGATTTCACGAAACACCCCCAAAACGGCAACCCGTCGTCGTCGTGGTGCTGCCGGGGCCCCGCCGTTAGCCGCGAGAGATCGCGAGAAGGGAGCTTCGCCGGAGAATCGGCCGGGCGATCGCCGAGAGGGTCGGCCTCGTCGTGCGCGACCGGATCAACGGCCACCACATACGCCGCTTACTGGCGGCCCAGTGAAATGGAGGAGAAGTCCTCGGCTCGGTTCTCCGAGTACCTGTTCGCCAAGATGGATGGTCATGACGTGTCGGCCTCTCAGGGTCCCCGTAAGGTGACCGCCGACACCAGGAAGTTCATGCGGGAGAATCTACTCCTCGTCGTTACCCTGTCCGGCGTACTGTTCGGCGTGATACTGGGTAAGCCTACACAAATCCCCCTCCAACGTATCAAATTTCTAAGGGTATGCACTTTGAAACAGACATTAGAAACCACTAATAGGAAAACATCAAATTAATTTCGCTGCCACTTAACTCTCGACTATATTAAAATAGACTTTATATATTGTATGAACAAATTTTATCTTAAGATCTCGAAAGATATAGTATTCGTATAATTTAACGTCACCTGGCAAGCGAGTATCCAGTTTAAATCTACGCGTTTCTTTCGTAAGGATGTGACACAACGAGGTATCGACCGGGGTGCAAACCTCGGCCGAGGCGTCTTCAGCATATCAGTAACCCTTACTTCTACGCGTTGACCTGATTCATATCGTACGGTGTGTCACGTTTCTGAACCGCAGTGCGAATCGCCGATATGTCAAACAAATGTCAGACGAGTTTTTTCCACTACTTGAGTTATTACCGAGGAGAGCTGCCAAGTGAAAATATATTTCCTTGTATACGTTTGTCGGGGTAAAAAGAATCGTCGAGCGGATTGAGAGCAGGTTACGCACTCGAGATAATGGCGAGGCTTTGCCAAAAGGCAGGCACGTTTATTAGGGAGGGAAACCGTGCCAAGGTCGAGCCAATCCGATATCACCAGATTTCACCGTTTCCGAGCGATTCGCGTTTGCATCGACAAGGAGTCCGCTTTTTGGTCCATTTCTCGTGGCAGTTCGCGATATGTTCCTTGCGCGTCACGTGCTCCAGCGGGACACGTGTGTTAATAACAGCCGCGTTACCGAACGATCGGGGCTTCATAATCGTTCGTAAAATATAGGCATCGACGATGCGTGACTCACCGTTGCTGAAAGCCGATTCATTTCGCGGGAAACCATTGACGAATCGGAAATACATGCGACGTGCACTAGCCCACGTCGAAATTGACGGTTACGTAAACCTGTGATCGTATTATCCCCGTTAAAAAGGTGTCGATCATCGGCGAGGGGTTTCTTAAAAAGTCGGGTCTAATTAACTTTCCGGGCGGGACTGGAAAGGGCAACCTTGAACGAACGGTTCTTTCCGAGGGATGCGTCTGAAAGCGGGACTCGTTTCTGAAAGCCCTCGAGCGCCCGTAGACGCGTTTTCATCCGCGAATCTAATTGCGACCACGACGCGGTTCTCGCCTCGTTAACAAATTCGAATCATCGCACGCTGTCTCCATGAATGCCAGCGACACTGTAATCGCGAGCGATTACGTTCAACGAGATGTCTGAATTCCATGCGCGCGCCTCCATTTTGGCAATTAATCTCCACGCGCGCCATTAATGGAAATATGCATACTCCGCCGTCGATTGAACAATGCGAATATCATTAAACCGACATTAAAGAAAGAAATCTGTTTTAGGTTCTCACGTCAATCGGGATAAAATACATACGTATAATTAAATTAAGGAGTCGTACTTTTTTTAATAAA